CACTCTTGTTACCTAGGCTGGAGTGCAATGGCGCGATCTCGGCTCACCGCAACCTCCGCCTCCTGGGTTCAGGCAATTCTCCTGCCTCAGCCTCCTGAGTAGCTGGGATTACAGGCATGTGCCACCATGCCCAGCTGATTTTTTGTATGTTTAGTAGAGACGGGGTTTCACCATTTGACCAGGATGGTCTCGATCTCTTGACCTTGTGTTCCACCCGCCTCGGCCTCCCAAAGTGCTGGGATTACAGGCTTGAGCCACCGCACCCGGCCAGGCAATACTCTTATTAATGTTCTCTCTTGTAAGAAGTGTCTGTGTTACCATTTTCCAGACTGTGCTAACCTGATGAAAAAGTGTGTGCAGTGTCGAGCAGTAGTTGAACGAAGAGTGCCTTTCATTATGTGCTGTGGCGGGAAAAGTTCAGAAGATGCTACTGATGATATCTGTAAGTGAATTGTCTTAAGTGTTTTCTTATTTTGCTTTTTTTGGGGACTTCCATGAACATCTCTTCTCTTTCACTATTGCCTTATAAAACCTAAGATGTCTGGCTTGCATCCTTAGAGGAACAGGTATGGTTTTCTGGTGCTTTTGTTATCTTACAAGAAACCTGAAATCCTATTTTTCTGTGATTATAGAACTGTAAACATCAGTCTTTGAGAAACCTTCGTGTATGCTATAAAGAATATTGTTGTGTTCTTGAATAAAGAAAATTTGCGCTCTGTTTTTAAGATGAAATTTAGTGTGTTTTTTGGGGGGCAGGGCATCATATTACAAGTATTTTTCAGTTTACTGAAAGTATTAACCTGCTTCCTTTATGCAACAGGTTTATTTTCTTCATTTAAGTAGTTTATGGAATGGTAATTATTTGGGACAGAGTAACTATAGATAAACAGAAATGTAACAGTGAAAGGGTGGAAAAATGAAAAATAAATGATTTACCATCAACATTTTCAATAGTACAGCTGTTTCCAAGTATTTTTTGTCTTTGCAGTAGATACTAGCTTAATGGCTTCTTTGATTTATTTGTTCTGTGAACATGTTTTATGAGCATATGAGGAAGAGCATCAGTGTGTAGCAACTTCCACCTGAGACTTTTGTCTTTATCACACATAGAACAGAATAAAAATCTCAGGGACAGATTAACTAGAATAAAGGACCAAGAATCTAGAGAGTAGGAAAAGTGAAATCAAAGATTGAAATCAAAGATTTCCCTCCGTGTTTGCATACTACGGATGATGGCATTTCTTGAGTTCCTCATCTCAAATCAGCAATAACAAGGAAGTTGAGTCATAAAGAAAGGAGGCTAGATTTTTGTACGTCCTCATAAAAATCATCTAGAGACTTTAAGATAATTATTGCTGCCAAAGCAGGCCAAATCCCTGCTGGCTATGTTCTTGGTTCATATGGTACAGGAGCAGAGGAAACAAATATAAACTGTATTGGTGAGCCTGCCAAAGGAAGCATGTAGAGCCTTGGAAAACCCAGAAGTTTGTGTGTGGATTGTGCTCTAGCTGACTTAAATATAATTGGAGCTGAATGTGCCAACAATTTCTTTTTGGAGTTTATAAATGGAAGAGTGTAACAGAAAGTCACTACTGTATCTGCTGTCCAAGTATGAGAAAAAATTTTAAAGAGGATTGTAATATTAGTTTTATGTTTTCAGTAAATAAAACAGTAATAATTTAATAAATAAAATGTCATTCTGTCAAAGCTATAATAACTGAAAATCTTTTTAAATCTGTATTATAGCAAGTGGGAATATTCCAGTGTTACAAAAGGACAAGGATAATACCAATGTCAACGCAGATGTGCAAAAGTTGCAGCAACAGTTACAAGACATTAAAGAGCAGGTAATAATGATTTCATGTAAATAGTGACGCTGTGAATGACACTGAATATTTTTCCATAAAACTACTAGTGTTTCTGTAATAAGCATGGTTTATATTAGTGTATCACTTGTATTATTTGAATATTTGCAATGAGTAATAATCTTATTAAAAGGTTTGATCAGGTACTTTCCAAAATAGGTAACACACAAATGACCAATGAACCTGAAAAAATGGTCCAACCACGTTAGTGATCAGGAAATGAAAACTCAAACCACAATGAAGTTCTTTTTCATACATACTAGATTGAGGAAAATGTTAAAGACATTTCACTGTCAAGTCTTAGGCAGAATATGTTGCAGCCATAACATACATTGCTGGTGGGAATATATATTAGTAAAAATACTTTGGAAGACAGTTTGTTATATCTAATAAAATGGAACAGGTTATTGCTTGGGAATATGAACTTGGAAAAAACCCACACAAATGGTATTAACAGTTGAAGGTAGTCCAGGTGCAGTGGCTCATGCCTGCAATCTCAGCACTTTGGGAGGCCAAGGTAGGGGGATTTCTTGAGCCCAGGAGTTCAAGACCAGTCTGGGTAACATAGTGAGACCTCAACTCTATAAATAGTAATTAAAAAAAAATTAGCTGGGTGTGGTGACTTCTCCATTACTTGGAGGCTGAGGTGGGAGGATTGCTTGAACCTGGATGATTGAGGCTGTAGTGAGCTGTGATCATGCCACTGCACTCCAGCCTTGGTGACAGAGCGAGACCCCATCTCAAAAAAAAAAAAAAAAGATGAAAAAGTCAAGGATAGTGGTTTTCTTGGCAGGAGATGGCTGGGAAGGGGCACAAGGGAAGTTTCTAGAGTCTGGATGCTCTCTTTCTTGAGCTAAGTACCAGATGCATGAGTTTGATCAGTTTGTGAACTTTTTTAAACTGTACACTTACGAGTCATGAACATTTCTATATATGTATAATACTTTAATAGAAATGGGCTGGACGTGGTGGGTCACGCCTGTAATTCCAGCACTTTGGGAGGCTGAGGCAGGTGGATCACTTGAGGTCAGGAGTTCAAGGTCAGCCTGACCAACATGGCAAAACCCCATCTCTACTAAAAATACGAAAGTTAGCCAGGTGTGGTGATGGGCGCCTGTAATCTCAGCTATTCAGGAGGCTGAGGCAGGAGAATTGCTTGAACCTGGGAAGTGGAGGTTGCAGTGAGCCGAGATTGCGTCACTGCACTCCAGACTGGGCGACAGAGCAAGACTCTGTCTCGAAAAAAAAGAAAGGAAAAATGTGTACATATGCATAGACACCATAAAGAAAAGTAGGGGAAAGACAATGCAAAATTCACAATAGTAGTCATCAGTGAGGGGTACATGGAAAGGATTGGGGAGGATTTATAGAGGGGCTTCAAAAATAAGAGTAACATTCCATACTTGAAACTGGGTGCTGGTTATGTTCTTTTTATGTCTTTTTTATTTTATTTTATTTTATTTTTATTTTGAGATGGAGTTTTGCTCTTGTTGCCCAGGCTGGAGTGCAATGACACGATCTCGGCTCACTGTAACCTCCGCCTCCCAGGTTCAAGTGATTCTCCTGCCTTAGCCTCCTGAGTAGCTGGGATTACAGACATGCACACCATGCCCAGTTAATTTTTTGTATTTTTAGTAGTGATGGGGTTTCACTATGTTGGTCAGGCTGGTCTTCAACTCCTGACCTCATGATCCGCCTGCCTCGGCCTCCCAAAGTGCTGGGATTACAGGTGTGAGCCACCGTGCCTGGCTGTCTTTTCATTTTTATATTTATTTATTTTCCCTTAGACAGAGTCTCACTTTGTTGCCCAGGCTGGAGTGCCATGGGGCGATCTTGGCTCACAGAAGCTTTTGCCTCCCCGATTCAAGTGATTCTTGTGTCTCAGCCTCCCAAATAGCTGGGACTATGAGTACACACCACCACGCTCAGCTAATTTTTGTATTTTTAGTAGAGATAGGGTTTTGCCATGATGCCTAGGCTGGTCTAGAACTCCTGGCCTCAAGTGATCTATCCAACTTGGCCACCCAAAGTGCTGAGATTACAGGCGTGAGCCATTGTTCCTAGCTGTTCTTTACATCTTATACATGTCAACAAATGTACTCTTTTATATCTACCTAATATTTAATAAAAGCAACAATAAGATAAAGAAAAAAATAGCAAAAACTTGTAGGTTTTTTAAGAAAGCAAGTCTTTTTCTTTTTGGCCATATCTTACCATTTGACCAAGTGACTAAATCTGATTCATAGCCTTGAGCAGTTTTTTAGTTTGGCCAATCACATCAGTATTGCCATGCAATTGTTAGAGTCATCACACCTGTGTTTTCTATCTGGATTTATAAGAAAATAACATAGTTAGTAGTTAGTAACTCAGGATAACTAATGACCCTTGTGATAACTAAGAATTGGTCAGTTGCAGTGGTGTGTGTCTGTAATCTCAGCTGCTCAACATGCTGAGGCGGGAGGATTGTTCCACCCCAGGAGTTTTAGATCAGCCTGAGCAACATAACAAGACCCCGTCTCTACAAAAATCTTTAAAATAAATCAGCAGGTATGGTGACACATGCCTGGAGTCCCAGCTACTTGGGAGACTGAGGCAGGAGAATGACTGGGGCCTAGGAGTTCAAGGCTGAAATGAGTTACGACAGTGCCACTACACTCCAGCCCAGACAGCAGAATGAGAAACCATCTCTTTGCAGGGGGTTAGGGGAAAGAATTGAATGTATGAATTTATTAGGCATTTAAACCTCCATCTGAAGAGATGAAAACTCTATGATTGGGCTAGCTTTTATTTTGAAATCCAACATCTAGCAATACTTGTTATAGAGTGAATAAGGAAAGATCAGTATTAATTTACAGGTTCTTAATGGAGTTTGGAACATATTTGGCTAGTTCTAATATAAAATAAAACATTTTTTTTTAAATTGAAGCTCTTAGCATCTTGATTCCTTTCCCATAAGACATCTACAGAATGATAAGCTGATTTTTGAACATTTCTTCTGTAAAAAGCATTTTACATTCTAATTGTGAATTAAAATTGTTCTTAACATGAATAGTGACACTTACTGAACCCTATATGGATCCTAAAAGAATAATTCAGCTCTACTATATCCAAAGTTTAGCTTTCTACAGAAGTTTATTCTTCCTTAAATAATCCTCATCACCATATTTTATCATTAAAGCATTTAAACACAACTCATTTTATGAGGAATGATGGGATTTCTTATAGGGACTCCCTTCAAGGTTATTTAAAAAAACAAATGGCCAGGTGCAGTGGCTCATGCCCGTAATCCTAGTATTTTGGGAGGCAGAGGTGGGCAGATCATGAGGTCAGGAGATTGAGACCATCCTGGCCAATATGGTGAAACCCTGTCTCTGCTAAAAATACAAAAATTAGTTGGGCATAGTAGTGCACGCCTGTAGTCCCAGCTACTCGAGAGGCTGAGGCAGGAGAATTGTTTGAATCTAGGAGGCAGAGGTTGCACTCCAGCCTGGCAGCAGAGTGAGATTCTGTCTCAGAAAAAAAAAAAAGAAAGAAGGAAACAGTTGGGAGAGAGTGGTAAAACAGGCATAGAAGTTCTCTTTGGGCTGTGGGTCTCACTTAGGCTTTTCAGCACAAAGGTGGGGTTTCACTGGAGACCCGCCCCTGTCTGCCTAGAATTTCTCTGCCTCCTGCCTCTATCACAGTGGCATGATCTTGGCTCACTGCCATCTGTGCCTCCCAGGTTCAAGTGATTCTTGTGCCTCAACCTCTTGATTAGCTGGGATTACAGGCATGAGCCACCACCTGGCTGTGTTTCATATATTAATAGTTTTTAATCTTATATAGTACCTTTTATACTATCCTGACAGTATAACCAGTGTTTCTATTTCATAGGGATGACATTTTAACTATTTAAAAATGTTAAAAAAATTTTTTTTAAAGCATCAAATTATTTGACTAAAACAGCTAAACAAAATTAATGATATATAACAGTCTGTCACTTTCTGAATATAAGGTGTCTAATTTATTACTTTGTTATTTCACATTACAGACAATGTGCCCTGTGTGTCTGGATCGTCTGAAGAACATGATTTTCCTCTGTGGTCACGGAACCTGCCAACTCTGTGGAGATCGCATGAGTGAATGTCCTATCTGTCGCAAGGCTATTGAACGAAGGATTCTTTTGTATTAACTAAGAAACACAGTGTATTTTGTTAGCTAATGTATCTAGTTATGAGATTTTAGCAGGCTTTTAATCTAGTTGGAAGTGCTGATGAGTTAATTTCTATTGTCATAGTTTCTTTACTAGAGTATAATTGGGCGGTAAATGTACCTACAAAACAGTGTTGGAAATGTGTTCTTTGTTTTTGTTTTAAATTTGAAACATCAAATTCATGTAGCTCATAGATAATTTATCTTTGGCTTCTAAGAGGAAAGTTTTTTAAGGATATCCTTTTTTAAAAAAATTGCATTTTTCTCTTATAGTTTATAAATTTGTTAGATCTCAAAAAAGACATAATTCCTTGTGATCAGTTATCCTTCATTTCATCATGGTTTTACACAGTGAATTGATACAGGTTCTCTGAAAAGTCATCATCAAATGAAAGGGGCAGGTCAAATCATTATATCACATGGTAAATTATAAAATTATAGTACAAGTTCCACATAGTTAAGGGAATACCAAAAGGGATGATGCTTTTTTTTAAGATAACAGGAAGTTATCCACATTTGTTTCTGAATTCATAGAGTAAATAGAAGCATAGAATGAGGGGATAATGACTTTGCATTTAGTTTATTTTCTAGATTCAAAAGGAATCTAGAAAATCTTGTTTAACTTGAATAAGATTACCAGTTTCAAGATGACTGATAGACAGGAAAAGGAAAAATAAGCAATAATAGTGGGCAACTGAAGAGAGGAAAAAAAAAAAACAGTAAGAGTACCTGCTAACTGACCACTAGCAGTTGCCTTTCTTTTATTAATTTATACACTATTTTGTTCAGCCAGTGTTTTTAAAAAAAATCTGTGAAAAGTATACTTCAGGTTTTCTGTGATTACTTATCTAGACTTAATCTGACCAGTGAAATGACATTGCCCTATTTGGACCTCTGAGGTTCTGTTTAGCTTTGCTGATGTACTGAATAGGACCCCAGTGATCTGCAAAAAAAAAAAAAAAAAAAAAAATGCCTTGTCCAAAGGCAGCAATCTTTTGTTCTTTGTATCAGTTAATTCTGATAGTGTGTACTGATCCTGTCTTCATTATAGGCCTTATTTCCATGCTCTCTTTCTTTATAGTAAATTTTACTATAAAGAAAACAGTCTCTCTGAATACCTACAGATGAGGATATTATTTAAACTGCCAACAATATCCAAGATATGGTCAATAACCTAATTACAAATACTTTAGAAAGAGTGACCAGGGCATTTACAGAAATGTCTGATTACCTGTAGACTTTTTTTTTTTTTTTTAAAAAAAACAAACTTTAACTCTAGAGCATTTAATTATTTTTTTCTCCTTTGAATGATCTCCTTTGTAATCTTACTGTCTCCTGAGTAAATATACACAGAAATGTTTGGGAGTTCATTGCTGCTAGATTATATCAGCTGTTTACATAGTGTCTACTATATGCTGTTTATAAGCTTTTTCCTAAAAATCGTTATCCTCTTTGGTAGTTTTTTTCCCTCCTTTAAATCTGGTGAGCTTTTCTTCAGTTTTTATACAACACCAACTAAATTTGAAAGTATGAAGTCTCTAGCCCTCATAACACTGTTTCTGGCTGTTCAATTGCTGCCATTGCAAGTCCTGGTGAAAGCAATGGGGAGCTTCGCTGGCTGGTTTTGTAGTCTCAACAATTCCATGTCTGTGTTTAGCTGAGTAACTGCTATCATTTAGAACAGTAAAATTTTTATAGATTTCAAATTTGAAAATTTATATAGACTCTACTCAGTTATCTAATAAGGGGCCACTGAGGCTGTTTTTAAAACTATTTTGAAGTTATAAAAAGATAGACCATCTGACCGATGATGTTCACATAAAGAGACAAACAGACTATCTTCTTGCAGACATGAAAACAGCATGTCAGGTTTTCCTTTCCTTCCATGCCATGGGCCACCCATCTCTTTCCACTAGATCACCTGATGAGGAGGGAGCACCTGGCTGACTCATGCAGAGTTTGGCCAGTCAGAGAATTATGTGGTCTCCAGCTCTACTTAGCTCTACTTTCCTTAAACAAATCCTTTCTGTTTTCTGAGCTAAAACAGATCCCTAAAAGGTAGTAGCATCTTCAGATTAGTTTAATTATTTCCTTTATAAGAATATGACATAAACTTTTATTATAGAAATCATAGTGTCATTGTAATTTTAGTGCTAGTACTTATGGGTTTTCTGTATTTGTATCACCTTGACGTTTATTGCATGAATAGAAAATACTTCTTTATTCAAGTTTTCAATCACCTAAAATTACTTTAAATTTATTTTGGGTTTGTGAGAGAGAAGATTAAGAACTTCATCATTCAGTGACTTTTCTCCAGTTTTCTGAATCTGCTACCTCTTATTATATGTCTCTTAGTACTTTTCCAATTAGGTTTGTACCCTCCTCATTACCTAAACCTCTTTATCTTGTGCCTCAAAAGAGCTTTTACTTTTCTTAGAATCATTAAAAAAAAACTGACATGCATTTATTCAAAAACATATTTATTGGGCTTCAGGGATTAGATACACAACAGTGTAAAAATGGCATCTTAGCACACTCAGAATTTATTGTGCAGCAGTTGTGTATTTTAAGGAATCTGTTGTTAAAAGGAAGAGATCCAAAGGTCCTGATAACATTTCCTAATGTTTCAGAAGAGTTGCCATTGAGTAGTGTTTGGATTCCCTCTCTGTACCCCTCACCCTACCATTTTCTCCTTTATTCTTCAAAGATTGTTAGTTTTGTTATTCAAAACACACACATACAACTTACCAGATGGTGCTATTCTAATGGTATTTGTTCACATAATTTAACATTCTTACTGCTTATACTATATACATATTTAATTTTGTTGAGAGTAAGAAGGTTTTCAAGAAAAGATAATTTTGTATTAGTGTAGGAATATATTAGACTAATGTTTAGTTTAGCTGGCCAAATTATGCATAAGATATTTGTAACTTTAAACATTGCAAATTGACCAGCTAGCTGTGGAAGCATAAAATTAATTGGTAATTAATGTTGGAAATACATTTCTTAAATTTATTTTTTTATGGCTTTAGCCTGTAAGAGCATTTTAGCATATTGAAATGCATGCTGCTTAAGATGTGTCTGGTTCAACTGTCAAAGCTTGCTGGGTCATTTTTTCATAGTAGAAACATACAGTCTATGTGTTGCCCAATTGCTGTTTGTCTATTCTGGATTCTGGACCCTTTTTGGAGTAGGAATTAGCTAAATTCATGAACGAAGAAAATTAGAGATGGGTTAGGGTAGGGTCAGGACAGTGGGGTTAAATAGGTAGGAAGAAAAGTCAGCATTTGAGTGTAGAGGAAAAAAAGAGGATCGTATAGATGTCACCGAATTATAGGCTTTAATACAGCTTGGGAAAAGCACTTGTCCTATCAGTTTGTCTAACATGTTTTATAGTAGTAATTTGTGTAAAAATTGAATTTTTGAATAGTTTTTTTTTGTATTTTTTATTATGATGAAAAACTCATAAAATTTACCATATTAACTGTTTCTAAAGTGCACAGTTCAGCCATGATAAGTACATTTACATTGTTGTGAAACAGATCTCCAGAACTTTTTCATCTTGCAAAACTGAAACTCCATACCCATTAAACAACTCCCCGTTTTGTCTTCTTCCCATTGGAATAGAATTTTGAGTCTATGTAAATCAAGAAACACCTGAATTCTTTAGTTGTTTATGTTTGCAAGATCTAAGAGCATAGTAAACATTAAGTTCTTAAAATCTGGGGGAGGGACAACATGTCCCTCCTCTGAATTGTTAGCAATTAAATTAAGTTTTAAATGTCTATTACTTGGAAGGGTTTGTTATTTCATTTTGAGCCAGAGGGGAGAGGCACATTTTTAAATATCAGAATTAGATTAGCTTTGAGTTTGTACTAAATTGGGAAGGTAATAGATTTTCATAAATTGTGTGTGCCTTGTTGGAAATGTCAACTGTCTTTACGTCTGCTTGTGAAAGTTTCAAAATATGTTTTTCTCTCAAAAAGGCAACGTTACTTCATTTGCTTGAATATTATGATAGGAATGCTTACTGATATTACTTGATAGTCATATATAGCCTTGGAACTTTAACATATATATAACTATAGCAGTATTAATAATGATAGTTGTACTTCTTTAAAACATTAAATTTGAGGAAACTTTAATGCTGTCTCATGTGTACATTACTTTACTACAGAGGGGGAATATTTTGAGCCTCAGTTTACTTAGTAGTAGTATGTGAAACTATGGTAGAAAAACGTGAATTAGACAGTGGAGCCGATGAATTAAAATTGTAAATTGCTACATTGGCATTTTCTACCTCCTTTTCTGACAGAGTATTATTTTTTCCAGCATTTATTCTTATTTGTGAGTAAAGAGGAAATGGGAACCTGAGGTTAAAATTGACATTTTTGTTTTGTTGAGACTTCAAGCAGTAGGTACATGAGAAAGTGACTTGTCACATTAATTTGGTGCCTAAATTCATAACTTCAAGTTATAATTGACATGTACAAAATGTCTAAGAAAGGTAATATGCTGAATATTTTACTTTTCCTGTATAGTCTGCATGATTTTGTTTTATAAACCCAACTTATTTCCTCCAAAAAGCAAAATGGTCCTTTTTTTTTTTTTTTTTTTTTAAATAAAATAAATGCACCATTTTGTCTGCCATCTATAATTTCAGGAAGTTATTGAAAGTTCTGACTCAGGGCTTTTTAATAGTTCAAGCAGTTGTCAATTATATTTTGGAAACTCCATCTGCATAATTCTCCAGTGCCTTGAAAGAATTATTAAGTTGGAAACACTATTAAAACTTTTTAAAAGATGGTCTTTAGTGCACGTGTATCATTATATACACGTTTTAAAGTCATACTGCTTAACTTGTTAATAGTGACTCTCTGCATGTGTGCTGGGTTTGGGTAATTCCTTAAAGGAAGTTTTCTAGATTTGCACTTGATGTTTGTTTTTAAAAACTGATTACTTATGGCCATGACACTGTTACCAGAAAAGTAATTCTTATTAAGTGTGTTATGCAAAGTCATCTATAGGTAGCATCTGGGAAGAGGAGATCGAGCTCACAGTGTGCTATTTTAGTATGAAAGGAGGATCTGTTTGGGAAACATAGATTGTCTTCCCCTCAAATGAGGAAAAAAAAGACCCTTTGTTCAAATGGATTCTGTTTTTAAAAAAACTATTTTTAAAGGAAATCACAAATTGCATGTAATTCTTAATGCTAGTCTTGTAGACTAAATCCATAAAATTGTTTTTATGATCAGTATGTTTGTGTCATTCTAAATGCAGTATATTCAGTGATAGCAGTTCAGTTGATTCATACAGTGTTTTGTATTTTTCTAGTTTTTTAGCTTTCAATATTGGATTAAAGCCTTGTTTGTGAATATAGTTTCTGTATGGCAAATGATTCTTGCTTATTAGCTTTTGTTAAAGAATACTACTTAGAGCTATGTTAAAGGATACTTAGTAAGAGCTAAGCTTTTAAAAGTAATGCAAACATCTATCATTAATAAAACCTATGGTGTAATATCATATGCTTTTATTTGATCTTTTGAGAATTATTCTTTTATAGTAGTATACATGCATTTTGATTTTTAAGGCATTTAAAAACAAATCACTATACATTAAAAAACTTACTGTTAAAAAGGAAATTACCATGTCTTTAAGAAACAAGGATGTACATCTACAACTCAACATAAGTGTCCACATCTAGAGCTGGCTCTCAATGCAATTGTTTACAATTAAGGTACCTCTATCTAAAGGGCCAAAGAAGCTTTTCATATTTTAACACCTCACATTCTTTCAGGATTAAGACATACCATGAAAATTGTCTGAATAGGATAAATTTGATAGGAAGTAAATTAATCAGTCTGGAAGATTCAACTTTTTCTATAAAAAGATTATTCCTCTTCGCAACTCAGTTGTAGATTTCATTTTCAAGAGATAGACATTTTAAAGCACCGATCTATTTGGCTTTTAGTGTTTTATGAGTAAAACAGTAATTGTATGGTTTGGGGGTTATTTTTTCCGTGTTAATATAAGCACTTATTTCTGAAATTATTGAGAGGCCGTCTAGCTCCAGTTCAAAAGATTATGTGTATCTGATGTTTAAGAGGAAAAACATCTGAAAAAAAAAAATCTTTTGTTTATTTGAAGAAAGCATATATATTCCAACTTTAAAATTGTGAATTTATTTTGAGTAACCTCTAACTGTATTTTTTGTTTCTGTTGCTGTATAATTAGATACTTCATGGCAATATTTTTTACTAAACTGGAACTGTATAGGTTTTAAAAATAAAGACATTTTAGAAAACTTGTTTTATACTTTTTATCATTGATAGTTTTTCATTCTTCACAGAGGTTAAAATTATTGGATAGTCTTCTAGCACAACATTTCCCAAATGTATTGATAATGAAAATATTCAGGCCAGGTGCTGTGACTCATGCCTGTAATACCAGCACTTCGGGAGGTTGAGGTGGGTGCATTGCCCGAACTCAGGAGTTTGAGACCAGCCTGGGCAACAAGACCTGTCTCTACAAAAAATACAAAAATTAGCCAGGCGTAGTTGTGCACACCTGTATTCCCAGCTATTTGGGGGGCTGAAGTGGGAGGATCGTTTAAGCCTGGGAAGTCAAGGCTGCAGTGAGCTGAGACTGTACCACTGCACTTCAGCCTAAGTGACAGAGTGAGACCCTGTATCTTAACAACAAAAACCAAAACATTTAAAGGGTGCATAGGAGTTTATGAGCTATAATGAGTATCTGGATTAAAATAGAACACCAAGAATGATCTCAGATACATTATTTGTTGAAGAATAATCATTTGGCAAATAGTTTTTCTATTATAACAAAACTAGTTGATAATATCATTTTTATCTTATTAAGGACAAAAAAGTGATAGACCTTATTTGAAAGTGGAAGACCAGACCTGTAAACAGGGATCATCGCTAAGTGAATGGATGACATGTGAAGGAGGCCATGGGGCAGTGCTGCCTTTGCCTGTAACTAATCAGATGCAATGTATTCAGGCTGCAGGTGTCACTTCATGCTGGGGCTCTGCATTTACAGGGCTTTCTGAAGGCAGATTTCCGGGTTCAAGCGATTTTCCTGCCTCAGCCTCATGAGTAGCTGGGACTACAAGCATGCACCCCCACACCCAGCTAATTTTTGTATTTTTAGTAGAGATGGGATTTCACCGTGTTGGCCAGGATCGTCTCGATCTCCAGACTTTGTGATCTGCCCGCCTCAGCCTCCCAAAGTGCTGGGATTATAGGTGTGAGCCACCATGCCCAGCCTGGGAAATACTTTTTTTTTTTTTTTTTTTTTTTTTTTGAGACTGAGTTTTGCTCTAGTTACCCAGGCTGGAGTGCAATGGCGATATCTCGGCTCACCGCAGCCTCCGCCTCCTGGGTTCAGGCAATTCTCCTGCCTCAGCCTCCTGAGTAGCTGGGATTACAGGCACACGCCACCATGCCCAGCTGATTTTTTGTATTTTTAGTAGAGACAGGGTTTCACCATTTTGACTAGGATGGTCTCGATCTCTTGACCTCGTGATCCACCCGCCTCGGCCTCCCAAAGTGCTGGGATTACAGGCGTGAGCCACCGCGCCCGGCGGGAAATACTTTTATAGGTGAGGTTATCCTAATTTAATAGGGAAATAGACAACCAGTCAGAGAGCCTTTACCTACAGTAGCTGGAACCATAGGCACGCACCACCCAGCCAGGTTAATTTTTTTGTAAAGATGGGGTTTTGTCGTTTCCTAGGCTGACCTTTGAGCTGCTGGGCTTAAGCAATCTGCTGCCATGGCCCCCAAAGTGCTGAGGTTACAGCCATGAGCTACCATGCACAGCCCTGTTACGTGCAGGTTTCAACAAAAATTACAAGATATACTAAAAGGTAAACAGCCCCAAGAGACGTAGCAAGCATGAGAACTATAACCAGCAAGCATGACAGAGATTTTGGAATTATCAAAGTAGGAATTTAAAACAGCAGCAATTAATATGCTATGAGCTCTGATGAAAAAAGTGGACAACTTGTAAAAAGAAGGGTAATGGGCCAGGCATAGTGGCTCATTCAGGTAATTCCAGCACTGGGAGGCCCAAGCGGGAGGATAGCTTGAGGCCAGAAATTCAAGACCAGCTTGAACAAAACAGCAAGACCCTGTCACTGCAAAAAAAAAATTTTTTTTAAATTAGCCAGGTATTGTGTAATGTGTCTGTAGTCCTAACTACTCAGGAGGCTGAGGCAGGAGGATCACTTGAGCCCAGGAGTTTGAGGCTGCAGTGAGCTATGATTGTGCTGCTGCATTCCAGTCTGAGCAACAGAGCAAGACCCTGTCTCAAAAAAGAAAAAAAAAGGGGGGGGGGGGGTAAAAATTGGGTAATATCAGCAAAGAGATGGAAGCTCTAAGAATCAAAAGATTATCGAAATAAAAAATGCTACAAATGGGAATGCCAGAAGATTTTTTTATTATTTATTTATTTATTATTAGAGATGGAATTTTGCACTTTTCACCCAGGCTGGAGTGCAATGGCACATTCTCCACTCACTGCAACTTCCACCTCCCAGGTTAAGCGATTCTCCTGCCTCAGCCTCCCGAGTAGCTAGGATTATAGGCGCCCACTACCACACCCAGCTAATTTTTGTGTTTTAGTAGAAACATTGGCCAGATTGGTCTCAAATTCCTGACTAAATGTGATCTGCCTGCCAGTGCTGGGATTACAGGCATGAGCCACCACACCCAGCCAGAAGATGGTTTTAATTAAAAAAAATAAATAAATAAAAAAGAATAGAACATTTGAAACAACAGCAACTGAATATCCCAAAGTTAATGATAGACACCAAACCACAGATCCAGGAAGCTTAGAGAATATTAACCAGAATAAATACTAAAAATCAAAACATTACTATTTCATATTCAAAGTACAGAAAATCAAAGACAGAAAAAATCATGAAAGCAGTCCCCACTTGGGTTGGGGTGTTGGGGAGGGACCTTGTTGTTGATAGAGGAGCAAGGGTAAATATTAAACTGAACTTCTCCAGAAACTATGCAAACAAAGGAGTAAAAGGAAATAATTAAAACGTTGAAAGAAGAAAGTACCAATAAGAATTCTATATCTAGTTAAATTATCTTTCAAAAGTAAAGGAGAAGTGAAGACTTTCTAAGAGAAACAAATATTGAGGGGATTTGGTGCTAGTAGACTGGCCTTACCAGAAGTGTTAGTAGAAGATCTTCAGAGAAAAAAATAAAACATTTTAAAGTTTTGTTTATTCATTTTTAATTTAGCAATAAATTAAAACGTATTACCAGAGATAACCACAAAGGAAGACAGGATGAAAGGAAGAGAGGAGTTATAAAACAACCAGAAAACAACAAAATGGCAATAGTAAGTTCTTAATAATAACATGGAATATAAATGGACTAAATTTCCCAAAGTAAAGACAAACCAAACCCAAAATCTGTAGAAGGAAAGAAATAATAACGATCAGCACAGAAATACATGAAATTGGGACTAGGAAAAAAACAAGATGAATGAAATGAAAAGCTGTTTTTTTTTAAAAGATAAAATCAACAGACTTTTAGCTAGACTAAGAAAAAGAGAGAAGACCCA